CACTCAGAAGTTGCAAGATTAGCTGTGTAATTAAGAGAGTAATAAAGGAATAGTTTAAGAATATGCAAAATTTGCACGCACAAGAGCTAAATAAACTTACGTAGTCATTTTAGTTTTCTGTTTACGACGTCATCATCTTGTCCTCTTCACTGTCAGTGGCACATCAGTAAGAGCCTCAGAGAGCTCTCATGCTCTCTCTCAGGAGCCTTTTCTTACATAGAATTCCCTTTAAGAAATCTGAGTGAAAGGCGAGTAAGTAACTTCTAAGAAATACTATGGAAGAAGTGAGTTTTCGAGAAAGGAAACAACATTCTCAAGCTAAACCCATTAAAATTATCCACACCTTTGATTTTTTTCTCCTCCTGTTGGGCATTTTCTTTAATGAACACCAGCAAGTTGGTGGTCTAAGAAAGATTATTATATTAATTTCTTTTTTTTATCTCAAAGTTTAACCTGATCTAGACACGTTTCTTTCTAAACCTACTGCAAGACTTATTATTGGAAGCTCTTTAAAGCAAAGCTTTCTCCTATTCCCACAATGATTTGAGAAGCAAAACAGGAAGATGAAAAGTACTATTCTCCATTAATATTTTTTCAACATCTCCAGGCTGAAGTAAACAAACAAAGAAGACAAAGACGTATACATTCTCCCATCTCACTTTTCCTGTGCCTCATAGCTCCAGGATTTCATAAGGTTTTCAGAGGATCCAGCCTAGAAGGACAACTATGGGAATTCAGGAGTAACACTGCTATGTCTAGAAGTCAGGGAGAACAAATGGTTACATTATTAAAAATCTGTTGTGTTGCTGCTTTTTTTTTTTTTTTTTAAACTAGCGTTGGGACTACATTTCCTTTACATACGTGTCTTTATTCCTAAGCAAAAGAACTTAAAGAAAATGCTATCCTGAAGTAGACTTGAACTGTGAATTTCAGCATTCCCACTTTGTGAGAGAGAGAGAAGAATTTCCTTTAACAGGTATCAATATTACTTGCAAAATAAAATAATCTTTACCCCACCCCATAAAAAAGTCACCAATTCCTAGAGTTTGTTCTGTGCCTAAAAAGGTGGTGGGATGGCCTAGCATTGCTCTGCCCCCACTTACCTACTAACACAGTGCATGTAGAATGATACCTAATTTCTTCCTCCCCAAGAGTTTCATTTAGCCTGTACCCAAGCATGTCTCTACACTGTTGTCCCTCTAGAGTACATCACTAATTTGAACAAGCAAGATTAACGAGAAGCTTAAATAAAAACTTAACTTTTTCCTGGTAGACTCTTGCTGGCAGCAAGTATAATAATTATAATAATTAACACCTTTCTGGTGTTCTTCACATGTCCTCAATCCTCATTTCTATATGCATCACCAAGTGAAGGCAAGCTCTTCCTTAGATGATATATAGGACTAGTTAGACCTATTCTAAAAAATACCCTAGATATTGCTTACAGTATCCTGGATATTTTTCTAAAGAGTTCTGTACTATGCTCAAGGGTTCACAAGGTGTGCTTTGCACCACCTGGAACACCAGAAGCCTCAGCTATTTCCTTTTCCAGGTCTTTGGGACAAAGACTTTAATAACACAACCTGAAGAAAAGAAGTAATTAAAGGCATTAGCCAATGGTACTGACATCCCTTTCATTCAGTTTGCTTTTCTAGCATGTTAATTGAGTGTAGGGAATGAGCTAACAGAATAATGGCTGAAGAAATAGCATTCAGATATTTTAAGGCACAGGCTGAACTCAGGATTCCATATAATGCTAAATTCTCAGACTTACATACTTAACTGCCTTCTATTTTGGGACTCACTTGGAATGTTCTCTCTTGCTCAGTAATTCACTGTCACAGTACTTAAACGTAGAGCTACAGTTGTCCAGCACTGCCTTGTGTTTTCCAGACTCTGGAGGAAGTATCAGAGATTTAGCTAAGCAAATGTTGTTCTTTCAAACCAGTTCCTCCTTTGATTCCTGTACCACTACACTTCTATAAAAGAATCCAGGACTTTGTCTTTCCAAGTTGTGTAAATAACATTGGGAATATGAAAAAGATTATAGGCCCTGTCTTGAGAGGGATAACATGTTTTAGGCTACGCTGAACAGGCAGGCTAGGTTAAGCATGAACTAAAGTCAGCTGCCTGCTTTAGACAGAATCTCAAAGCTTCTCTGACTTTGTTGACAAACACTCATTCATCTACGAATTTTCTTTGGGGCACAATCTGTGTTTTCCTCTGACCACATCTTGTAAAATATACATGCTAGCACACTGACTCCTCCTTTGCAGTTAGAGCAGGCTAGCAGATGAGCTGCAGTAATGGACCACATACACACTGACAAGTATATGAAGTCACTAAATCACAGTAATCTAGTAATTTCTGACTACTTCTACGTATCCTTAAACATCTGTTCTCAAAACCAGTTCAAATGAATTTTAAGTGCAGTTTGGCATCATTGTATCATGCTCAAAATGAGAAATTATTGTATAAATGTCTTTGCCGTCCGCCTTCTTCCACAGTGTGCCAAAAACTGCACCATGCTCCACAAGTAAAGCCAATTCATGCCTTTTGACGTGCGACTGCTAAACCAAGACTACTTCATACAACTGACAGCAAAGCTGTGCTAGCACAAATTTTATTGTATAATTGTGAAACTTTGGCTATGGAAAAAACTGAGCCAGGAAGTCTGGTGAAGAATAACTAGGATTCCCCCACACAGCCTTTTTCACAATCAAGTAATATGAATGATTTCTGAAATTCCCCTTCCTTATAACCACAAGGTATGACTTATGTACCTTGTGGCTTTTGATCACGTAAAGATGTTTACCTGATGGCCAGACTCAGAAAAGTGATCTACACGACCTCCCACCTTAGCATTCTTCAGGTAGTTTAAAACTGCACAGTAGGCAAAAAAATCACTCGAATCCAAACTGCATTTGAGGAATTTACATTCAGCACAGGTGTATGCTCCAAAAATTTTATCCAAGAGCTAAACCAGTTCCTGATACAATTTAACACAATTTACCATTTAGCCTCAGATGTTGTATATTCCTTTGTGATAGCTAAGATATGTTTTCCTCACTGATTGCTGTCATGTACCAATGGAGCAGTGAACAGTAATTAAAATCTTGCATTAAAACTGTTAACCCCAGATTTATGAACTTTCCGTATTTTTTGTAAAATAGTCACTGTTAGACAACTGGCAGGTAAATTATTCCTCCTCTCTGCTATCTCCTTTTCCTCCCAGCCTCTAATCGTCTGGCCACACAGAACAGAAATTAAGCCATCAGCTTCGAGTGGACTAAGTCTATATGTAGATTTGTGCATGTGCAAGATTACAAACCATATCAATACAGTTACTTAGGCATAAGTCAGTGAAAAAGTCTAATTTCTGTAAAGATGTGCATTGTTACTGTAGAACTATCTTAATTTTTTTAATGTGAAATTAACTGTGTGCATATGTTCATAAACTTTTGTACTGCATGACAGACAGTACTTCAGATTGTCTAGTTTGTTTGGTGCTCAACAGTGGAAGAATAAAAACACTTAAAATGTTTCAAATTTGCTAGGAACAGTAGTGGCAATTTAATGTTTACTCCTCCCACTCCCTTCTTTCTCAAAGAAAAAAAAAAAAACAAAAACAACAACAAAAAAAACAGAAAAGAACACTCCAAAATTTATCTTGCAGTTCTAGAGCAAACGTACCACTATTGGCCTGTAGCCATACAGAGATGCACTAGCATAAACAGAACAAATATTGATGCTTACATGAAGATGAATCTATCAAAAATGCCTCAGTTTACATGAGTTTGACATGAACTGCACAGGTAAAAAAAGCAGTTTTAATTGCTTCCACACAGCATTCTGCATGAGTTCAATTAGCCCAATGTAACATCCGATATGAAGCTGGAATGAGAGTGCACGTGCGTATAGACTAGCCAACAGAAAGTACGTGTTTATGGACAGGTGGAAAAAAAACCCCAAAAAACCACAAAAAAACAAAACAACCGACACCGGCAAGAAACTGACAATAAACGCTCGTGTCACATGCCGCCAAGAGGGAAGAGAAACCATTTCCTTCCAGACACTCCAACTGACTTTGAAGCTCTCAGAAGCTTATTACTCTGCAGACTAACTGAGCAGTGCCAACCCCCCCGAAAGTCACCAAGCACCCCAAGTACACACGTTTAGCCCTTTAAACTAGTAAGAACGGCATTAACAGCACCCACTCACCACAACCTCCTGGGCCACTGCTCCAGGTCCCCAGGGCGGCAGGTGGCTGCCCTCTCTCCGGGCGCTTGAGACAAGCACGACCTCTCCTTCCTGAGCTAGCTGCTTTTTGCTAAAAACCGGCCAGGTTTTACCCGTCTCCTAGGCCTGGCGGAGCCGAGCCCCAGCAACCCCCAACACCAGGGATGTGCCACACGCCGCCCCCCTCCCCCACCCCCCAACTACAGGAGGAAACGACAGGACTCCCAGCGCTGGAGCTTTACAGAAGGGGGACGACGCGGGAGGAAGGCGCCGAGGGGGCCGAGGGGACGGA